TTCGTGTTACAATGACGACAAACGCGTAAGAGCCCAGCGGTTTACCGCGCACTATACCGAATTTGTCGCAAGAGTTCAACTATAGAAGGTGAGGAAGCAAGTTTCCACCTGATACTCGTCGAATTACGTTGAAATTGTCGTACCATCCGAGACAAGAAGTTTCCCTCAAGTTTTCGAAATTCCCCATGTATATATATATATATAAAGAGAGAGAGAAAGGGATTAAAAAGTCCAGCGTTTAATTGCTTGCATCATTATAAAATTTTATGCCCAATATTCAAAAATACTTTCCTAAAGTTACAAATTTAGTTTTAATTTTCCGTAAAATTTCTATTTAACTTTACGACCTGCACTGAGAAAAATGTTTAGTCAGAGCAACCAAAATTTGGTTGGGCCAACAAAAAAATTTTATTCGTATTTAAGCAACCAAACTATTTGTTTGAGTCAACCAAATAATTTGGTTGAGTGTTTTTTGTTGGCATAACAAAAATGTTTGGTTGATCAAACAAACAGTTTTTTTTGTAAAATTAAAAATTTTATTTTACCTTATCTCTTTTCTTTTTATCTTTTTTATTTATTTCATTATTTATTTATTATCAATTTTAACATTGAATTTATATTTATCCAATTGAAATATTTATGGACTTTGAAAAATCTCACCTCCGACTGGGATCGAACCTCTGTTTTAAAACTGAAGGTCGGGAGCTCTAACCACTGGACTACCTACCCATCCTTGTGAGATATTTAAACTAACTGTTCTCTTAAGCTGAGAGCGAATCAAATAATTTGGTTTTCGCAACTAAATTTTGGTTAGGACAACAAACGATCATTTGGTTTTTTAGACAAAACTATTTTGTTGTGTTAAGCAAATTATTTTGTTGTCGAAACGAAAATTTGGTTGGAATTTAAAAATGTTCAATCAAATAATTTTGTTGGCCTAACCAAATGTTTGGTTGAGATAACTCTACGACTTTGTTTAAGCCAACCAAAATTTGGCTACAAGAACCGAAAATGGCCAAACCAAACGATTTTGTTGCAAACACTAAATTTTTTTTCTCAGTGTGTGTTGTTCAAAAAGTGGATTCTTTGTTATCCACATTAAGTAAATGTGGACTTAAAAAAGATCCCACAAGTTTAGACTTAGGTTCGTTTCGTAAGAAATTGAGGTACATTATCTGTCATTAATTTTGTACGTCAAAGTACAGAGTTTCACCTACTTAATTTAGGTAAAAAATCAAGGATTATCAGAAAAAATATCAAGATAGTTGGAAAATGGATAAAAAAAAAAAAAATGAAACACGTTATCATTGTGAAAAGGACAAATAAAGAAATCTTCAAACGAGATCCAATAACTGTCTCAACTTGAACGTTTTCTTTGACGCACTCGCCAGGCAAACAATTCCCTTTATATTTTAGACTTCACATCTAGGTTGCAAGAATTTCGCATTGGTGGAAGCAAGAGAAATATGTGTAGAGAGCACATATACACTCTTTAGAAGAACTATATTCAGCTTACAACATGGAGGTTAGAGCAATTCATATCCACAGACATGCAAAAGGTTTGTATAGGTGAGTTATGAGCCTTACCTCGCAGCTTCGTCATTCCTTCCTCTCGCTTGGTTCTCGTACAAGGAAGCAAGCAAGTAAGGGAAAATCCTTTGGCCAGCGGAGCTTAGATAATTGTACTTGGGAGCTATACCTTCTCTCTCTCTCTCTCTTTCTGTGTGTACCACGCTTTACTGCAGTTGCAGTTGCCCATCCACGTGGAAATCATAGCTCTCCCTACGACCCATCGAGACTCGAAATCGTCGAGAATAGCGGCCAAGCGTACCAGAAAAGGTACCCTAGCTGACTGAAGATGCCAGATAATCTATTGGATCTGCGAGGACTGATTGGAAATAAGAAATGTCTTTGAGCAATTGTCAGTGCATTGTTGGAAATTGCGAAATAAAACGATATTGGGAAAAAGAAAGAAAAACCAAAATCGCCTTTGATACTCTACTGCTTCTTTAAAAATAACTTCATCAGCAAAACAAAACATTTCATTGGATATTATTAATTTACAGTGTACATTATATTAGTTTCCTAAAGTTGTATTTCATTGTTCTCAGCTCACATTATAAATGTATGTAGAAATTACTTTGGATCTAAGTGCGAAGGGAACAATTCATAAGTGCTTCGGTTGCAATTATTGTCTTCTCTACTGAAAATCAAACCAATTTCAGAAATTAGAATGCTTCTATTCTGCCAAATAAAATAACACTTGTAAGATTATTGGAAGAAGACTATTTTTTGAATAAATATGCTACAACCTCTTAGGTAAGTTCAAATACAAAAATACTGAATTCAAATAGCAGTATATATGTATGTTATTTTCAACGGGAGAATTGCAAATTGAATAAAATCCACTCGAGTTCACAGCTTCAACGAATTTTTTCTATCTCGCAGCAACGCAAGAATTCAAAAGTGATCTCTCTTGAGTCAAACTGAATGAGCAGGGGTGCCATATCACGATACCTAGCTGTATATATAGGAGAGTGGCGAGTTCGAGTTAGAGAACCGTTGGATAGGAACGGTATTGGATGTCACCACGAGAGAGATTACGTGTGGCTTTGAAAGAGTCAGCGATCTCTCTTATTCCTCCCTCATTTCTTCTCTCTTTTTTCCACCCACCATTTTTCTCAGTCCATATTTTCTCTATCTCTCTCTCTCTCTTCTTCTATACTCTATATACTTTTTTTTTCCCTACTAACACTGGTTCAGAAGACATACGCAATGCTATCTTCACCCTGTCAACGTTATAGTCATCCCCCCATAGCAACGAGAAAACCCAATCTAAAGAAGATGCTTTTGTCATTTGTTCCAATTTTTCATAGTTCGATATTTAGAATCAATCATCGATTTGCAGGGAATTCTATATAGATGAAGAGAAATATATTTTCCAGCGTACTCTTCAGTTATATAACTTCTGATAAATCACAATTATTGAGCGGGAGGAGCATTCGAATAGCATGGCGATTATTGACTCTATTCTAAAACTATTTTAGGTTTTTTTTCTGCCCAAGAAAAGAATCGGCATTTTTCATTTAGAACTTTCAGAAATCTCTCTAGATACATTGATTATTTTAAAAGAATATTCTTTCATGAGAAGCATTATCCTATAAATTAAATTAGTTAAAATTTAAAAATTTTTAATTTTCCCAATAACATTAAAAAGAATTTTTTTATTAAACGCATGTTTTTTTAAATAGAATTTGTACACTCTAAATTTAAATTAGTGAGAATTCGTTAACAAATTCAAATTAGAAATTTTAACTATTTTTTACTTTTTAGTAAAATATTACTATTTTAGTAATATTTTTGTTACTAAAAATTAGTAAAAACTTTCACTCAATTTTAATTTAGCAGAATTCTTATTTAATATAATTTTAAATGAGTTAAATTTTTGAAATGTAAAAATTTCTAATTCGCCGAATTTTCAATTAACGAATTGGTAACGGAATTTTTACACCGAAAGAAATGATTTATTTGAACCAAATAAAATATATTTGAGTTAAATAAACGTATATTTGTCTCAGAGCCTACTAACTTATTTATTTGGCGTAAATAAAAATTTTATTTGTCAGAAATAAATTTTTCTTTGGCTCAAATAAATTTTTTATTTCAATGAAATAGAATATATTTGCTACAAATAAATGAGTTAGTAGGCTCGGAGACAAATATAATATTTTTCTGAGTGTAAAATTCAGAATTTTCATTTGACCGAAAGATTTTGTGCAAATTTTAAAAACCAATACAATTTTTTTTTTATAATTTCTGATTTTTTAATTTTAAAAAACGCGCCAAAATCTTTTTTTAAGTTATGTTCTTATGTTTTTTCGGATATTTGCAATTTTGATAAAATGAAATTTCTGCTTTTTAAGAATTCTATCAAATTGCAATTTGACAAATAAAAATTTTTTAAAATAAAGATTTGCTATTTTTCAAGAAAAAAATTATTTAAATTTTTCAAAAAGCTTCGGTGAAACTTTAAATATATTAATTTAAAAAGATCTAAACAATTAGAAATTGCATTTTAGTCAAAATTTAAGTTTTTATTCATAGGAAACAATTTAGGAAACATAATTTACAAAATTCTTTTTTTTTTTTAGATTATGTTATCTAAATCGTTTTCTATGGATAAATTTTTTTAATTTAGATTTAAATGCAATTTGTAATTGTTTAAAATTTTTTAAAATTAAATTACTTAAAATTTTACCGAAACTTTTTTCTAAATTTAAATAATCCTTTTTTTTAAAAATACAAAAATACACAGTTGGACTAACTTTTGTTCCGATTCTTTGTCTGATTTTTCTTTAAATGCAACAATGACATTTTTCATAAATTTCTATATTCAAAATTTATTCCTACAAGAAAAAATAATTTTTTATACAAAATTTATAGAGAAAAATTTCAAATTATTTATTTTAATATTAAAAAACATATATATATATATATATAATAAAAGTAAAAAAAAAAATGAAAACAAAAGTTTTTTGTAGTGAAAATTTTACTATTTGTGAAATCGTATATTATTAATTCTAGCACTTGCAGAATGTGGTTCTACTCTACGAATTAAACAAATTACTAATTACTGCTTCATCCACCTCGTTAATTATCATGCCTGCTATCTGCCAGTGAAATGTCTGTATTATTTATTTACTTGTTAAATAGAATAGTCTCGTTTATATTCTCAACGGATTTGTACGACGCCAAAGTTACGTCCGTTAATTCACGTTTTCCGCGGTGAAAATTTTCCATCCCTGTGGAATCGCACCGACTGTGCAAATTTAAATATGAATCACGAGAGTAAGCGTCAGATGAAACAATTATCTCACCAAGACCTAAAACCTTTATATTGGTTTTTTTTCACTTTATATTTGTTCGTGACTAGAATTTTTTTTTTATACCGTTATTCCGCAAATATTTTTAAACGAAATATATTTTTCAAAAAAACTCACCTCTGTGCCTGTTGGTTTGCTTGTCGAACATAAGCATTGCATCCTCGATCTGAAAATATAGAAATGAAAATTAAAACATTGAAAAACAATTGTTTTTAATAATAATCTACTAATAAATGTGACGCGTCACGAGAAAATGTACTAAGGCAAATAAAATTTTAGATTATGTTTAACGATAATTTTAGTTTGATTAAACATGATGCTGAAGTCCGCAACGTTTTTAAAAACGAAAAATTAAAATAGAATTATTTTTTCATGTCAATTTATCTCTAATTTTGATTTGCACAAACTTGCAAGAAATTATTACTTTTATAAAAACCAGTTACCCCCGAATAACTTTAATTTTAATCCAAAGTAATAGATATTGTCTAATTATTTTTTCGTTTTCGTTTATAAAAACGTTGCGGACTTCAGCATCATGATTAAACATTAATTGATTATATGAAATCAAAAACAGTTTTTATTGAATATTTGTGTATTTTTAATTGAAAAATTACAAACATAACCTAAAATTGTTTGCCTCTAAAGTTCCTTTTTTCGTGACGGGATTTTTTTCAAAAAACAAAAAATTAAATAAAAAAAATAAGAATAATATATTAAATAAAAAAAAAATTAAATTAAATTAAAATTTCTAAATAGTAATTCAATTAATAAAAAAACTGACTTATCATCTTTAATAAATAAAATACATATATCACTCTCTTATTATAAATACTAATTAATATTAGTTATAATATAATAATATGATGATAATATGGTAGTATGGTATTTTGACATTGATTGTATTATAATTGATAATATTAATTGATGTTAATGCTGCTATTGTTGATGTTTAATTATTATTATTGATATTGTTATTATTGTTTTTTTTTTAAATTTAATTTTGAATTACACGCATTAAAGTGATATAGTAGATCCCTTAGTTACCCCTTAGATTTTTACCAAAAAACAACTAACATCTTGACTAAATTATGTAAATCCAAAAAAATTATCATCTATACTTAAATAAAAATTCATTTAAAATGAAGAGTAAATTGCATTTTTTGTGGTTTGTATATAAAAAATAAAAAAAGAATCATTAATAAATATAAATATAAAATTTTCTTTCTTAATGGGATAGTACGCTACAAAGCGATCTTTGCAATTTTGAAAATTATGTTTCTCAAGTTATTACATTCGACTTACAATCCACTATATATATAGAAAGCGAATGAGAAAGAATCTGGTCAAATCACGTAAAGAAGCGAACCGCTTTCATATTGTATGAAAGTACATACATATGCGTCGTAAAGCACAGCTGGTTTGAGATTTACAGAGCACGCTGCTGAGAAAGACGATGTCGTGTCCCGAGGGGGTGGAAAAAAGGGGGTGACGTTCGAAGAGAGCGGCACAACGCGAAGCGAAGAATAAAAAAAAAAAGAGAGAGAAAGAAGAGGAAAAGGTGGAGGCGGATTTATGGGACAGCAGAAACAATAGGGATTACCCTTTATTCCTGTCTCTCCTACCACCTCTTCCAATCCCAATTGTCAATTTGCGAATCAGCGCTATCGGGGAGATAATAAGTCTTATAAAAGTTAAAGCTGTTTTCAAAACAATTAAATTTCACTTTTATTTTATAGGTCAGCTTATCCCGTCAAAGAAGAAGCTCGACGTTAAAATATCCGACAGATAACTCTCTTTCTCTCTGTACAGTGCGCTTATTCTTTTTCCAATTAAAAATAAAGGTGATAAAACAATTTCAATTTTTCTCAAAATTGGATGGTTTAATAATGAGAGACTATATTATATGTATAAATATGTGTAATATATATACAAGTGAAAAGCAGATTTAAATATATTTATAAAATACTGTCTTAACTGTATAAAAACTAATTAAAATCAGATTTTTTAAAAAATATTTTTCGTATCTTTCAAATAGAAAAATTCCATTATACTGTCAGTAGGTTTATCATTTATACTGTAAACCTCAAATCGTCTAGAGGATTTCATTTTAATCTTATAATTTGATTTTCCTTAGTCTAGAGGTGCTTCTCTGACAATTGGAAGCGACTCACTCCTGACTACCTGGTAATCAGTAGAGGTGCATTTTTCTGAACACCAGAGCCTTCCTCACTTCCTAGAAGGAGCTGTACTTGTTCCTGTAGGCGCTCCTGCGGAGTAGTAACACCCTTCGCTCTCCTTCCTCCTGGTGAACCGTACTTAGTATGGGCGCTTCCGTGGAAGACTGGTGAACTAGGTTACACACATCTACCAGGACCATCCTTGTCGAGTAGAGGCGCTCCTCTTTTGACGAAGATGATGCACTAGGACGATTCCCCATCTCGAGGCGCTTCTCGGGTGGAGAAAACACCTACTGAATATTACTTTGTACTAGCTTCGCGTCGGGCATGAATATTAGAACCGAATCCAATATCTAGCTTCTTCCCGATTACGAATAATAATCGACTTCGCGTGCACGACCCCAGTATCCGTCCGTATCGTCGTCTAGGGGGTAAATTCTAGAAAGTACTCCACGTGAAAGTAATATGCGTCGTCCTGATCAACATCATCGTGAACGTGTTAATATATTTAAATCAAATTAATTCTGGATTAATGACGAGCGCGATCGGAGCCTCTGCGAACGCTTCACTAGAATAGCTAGTTCTTTTTATCGTTATGTTTTCTAGAGTTTAGTATTTTATTTGCATTGTATAGATTCTTTGTTCATATTCTTTTTTTGTAATACTTCATTTTTTGTACATTTTATTATTCTTTTATTTAAAGTCGAAGGTTTAAATAAAGACTCGTCAATGACTACACCTCTCCTCTACATCATAGTAAGAAATAGTTCCGAAATTAATCGAAACATAGATGGCGCTCCACGCCATCTAACGAGATTTAATGTAACTAGTCAAAATAGGTACCCGGACTACATCCGGCGAGCAAATACTTTTGGCAATAAAAACTCAGATCATTACAAGTTAAATAGTAATTAAAAATCAATAAATTAACTGACACTTTAAGGTGAAAAGAATCTTAACTGCAAAAAATTTTAGGTTATGTTTATCAAACTCTATCATTGGTAGAAAAAAGCACTTTTATTTAAAATGCTATAATATAAGAAAATTTTTAGAAAACGATAAAAGAAAAAATTGTAAATGTTAAACTTATTATTTTCATGTTTATATAATGTTATTTTGTCATCAATAATAAATTTTATCAATTATTTTGAGATTTATTTTCAGTAGAAAAATTTTGCTAACTAGCATTTTTCTATTTCTATTAAGTACTTTCGTACTTAATAATAATTTTAATATAATTCATAAAAAATAATTTTGATTGAAAAACATTAAAATTAAACATAAAAACAGAGTAAAAACAATAAGTTTAACACTTACAATTTTGTTTATTGTATTCTGGAAGTAAGCAAACGTGACCATGAAACAAGAATGATTGAGAACGACAAATCAAATTAAATGCCTCTTGCGTGGCGCCACAGTCAGTGAAAAAAGTTTGCTTCTTTCAAGCCGGAAACATAAAATAGACGCGCGAAATTTTAAATAAATATTTTAACACATTTTTTTTATAATATATTTACATTTCTCAAATTGTAATTAGTATCTAAATAATCATGTGATATAATTATGGTTATTACAATATAAATAATTTTATAAAGAAATAAAACCAACTTTTTTTTCAATTTTATAAAAAATAACTAAAATAGAAAAAAGTTTGAATTTCTAATTTTAGCTTATATGCAAAAAAGCAATAAAAAGTTTTTATTTATTTTTGTATATAAAAAGAATCGAGGAAATCAAAGTTATGATTTTTCTTTAGAAATGCTTATTTAAGTCGTAGAATAAAATTTTTATTCTCAGGCTTATGAAGAAAACTTGTATAAAGCTTTTGAGTTTGAAGCAAAAGACTCTGCGGAGGTGAGACTTGTTTGGATATCGTTATCTGTTCTCGAGACGAGAGTAGACAGAAGAAAAAGTACTTTTTTTTAGCATTACTTTCCTCTAAGACATTCCCAGAGGATGGAAAGTCAACTTAAATAAACGTACCTTTAAAAAATGTAAGGTTTATCTTCGATTTTTGAGGTTGACCAGTCAACTTAAAATTTTTTTTAATTTGACAAATTAATAAAAGTTAAATATTATCAAATTAAAATTAACAAACTTTTTTTTTATATAATTTCTCAAGAGACTGATTCGAAGTTTGTAAATAATTTTCACATAATAGTAGAATTTAAAAAAATTACAGCAGTGAGATTGAAAATTTTTTTCTTCTTCTTAGAGAAGATAAGAGTTTTTATTTCAATAAATTTAATTGTTATTGCAATTCTTCGAGAGGTATACATATTTTAAATTATAGCAGATGAATTTTTTACTTTTTGCAGTCGCGTCGTATCATTCCAACTAAATCTAAAAGCATCATAAAAACTAGGTCAACGGTACAGGAATCTCTTGGAAAATGGAAAGTTTTTTTTTCAATTGAAAAAATACGCTATTGAAATAGTTACTGAAGAAATAAACACCAACCTTCTCGCACATTCACGTCGATTTCAATGCACTTTTCATTCTAAGCAAAAACGAATTCGATTCTTTTCAAAACAGTCAAGTTATAAGAAATCAAGTTCCATCATTATTTCAACCAAATCCTATTTATTTTTTGCTCTATAGATATAGAAAAAAAATAAATTGACTCAATCAATAATATGTTTTTTTTTCTAATAAATGTGTTAAATTTAAAATATCTGCAGAGTTTGTGATTTCAATGAAAAATATTCGTTTGTTTTTTTTTTTTCTTAAAGAAATGCGAAAAAATAGGAAACTTTTTGCAAAGCTCAATTTTCATTAAGTTATGATTTACATTTGCAACTTCAGTGGGGCGCGCATTTACGTCATTCGTTTACATTTGCAGCTTAGTTATATTACAGCTCGAGTTTATGAAATTCATGCAAAAAGGTTTTCAGTCACGTTTTTCTACAATTGTCCCCATATGCACGACATAAATTACGACTCAGGAGAAGCTGAGGATGTAAAAAGTCCGTAATTTCTTCTAAATGAA